CCAGTCGACCACCAAGCCGGCCTCCAAGTGCGGTTAGGAGAGTCGTTTTGCCGCTTCCGGAGGGGCCGAGCATGGCGAGGATCTCCCCGGGTTGAACAAGGCCTGAGACATCATTTAAGATCACTCTCTCTTCGTTCTTGGTACTCTTCTTGGGTTTGATCTTGTAAACCACGTTCTCAAACTGCGTAAATGTGATTACTTAGTTTTTTTTTTATAAAAAAAAAAACAAATCAAGACCAATGTGTGAAAGTGTGATCAGGGTGTTTTTTTTTCAAGAAAGCAATGGAAAGAGGATCTTGATGAGTACCTTCAATGTGACGGGTCGAATGGCTTTCTTGAAGATAGCTGGGGCTTCAACAGTTTCGGATGTTGTATTAGTCTGACTTTGAATCTCTAAATCCACCATTTCTTGCTCCATGCTTGTGTGATCTTGAGATATCAAAGAGCTCTTTCTCTATAGAGCTAAAACCATCACTCACAATCAAAACCACTCTCCCTTTTGTTTGGATATTGAAAGAGAAGATCAGATGTAATAGCTGATCTTTCTCTCTCTCTCTCTCTCTCTGGAACTATTAAAGTCTGGGCAAGCAATAAAAGTATTGGGAAGGAGAAGCGAAATTAATTAGAGAGAGTCAAGTCATGCGAGAGAGATGAGATATAACAGATGAGCCAGACGCGGCCTTTTTGATGGGTTTCGCTTCAAAGTCTGTTACGCTCTTTTGTTCTGTTACACTTCCTCCAAGCCTGCACATGTTTATATATATATATATATATATATATATATACACACACACGTATCACTTGATTGAACAATCCCACTACAACTCTACTTCTGAAACCCTTTTCCCCAAAACATATGGTCGATAATTTACTAACGAGGACTGTACACTAATGCCAAATTTAACCAAAATGTGTGACAGATTAATTACCCTTTTTCTTATTATGCGTAATATTCTTCCTCCGTGGTGATTAAGTGGCTAAGCACAAAGGCTAGCTATACAGGGACATCTGTTGAAACCAAAAGGCTAGCTAGGCTAAAAGAATGGTGCATAATTTATGTAGCTGGTTCTATGGTGGGTATAATTGTAGACATTTTCTTCATTTGCTTGGTTGCATCAAGAAGTGGATCATTTGCAGTTGTTGTTCACTGAGTATGTAACCATTTCCCCACTCAAATTAATGCATCAAAAGATTACTTTCACTATGGAACCTTTATCAAACTTTCTAGTCAGATTATTCACTTTTCTTTTTTAAAAGAAAAGGTATGGCAGTGAGAGATTTTGGTATATACTTAACAAAAGCACACTTTTTCAATCTGTATAGTAATTAACTTAAACCCATTAATATAAAGCTAAGCTGTTGTCTAGCTTATTAATTTGAATTAATTAATGAGACCCAGTGATACTATAGTAGTACGGTCACGTGGTACATCTTGTACACGTGTTATAATATAAGTGAATATTTATTGTTAGTATTACCTAAAAGGAGGAAAAATAAATTATGTCACTTCACCCATATTATAACACGTGTATAAAATGTACAACATGAACATACTACCATAATATTCTATAACTTCTCATCTAAATAAATAGATGACGGTGGTCTTTGGGGCAGGATATTAATTTGCTTTCTTAAGTTGCCCTCATCACAGTTTCAAATTTTTTATTTAAAAGCTTGGGCTCATACCTCCGACTAAGCAAAATTGGCCCAATGGTCTGAAATTGTTCTATCTTGATGCATTATGGGCGGGTGTTTAATTCTACAATTAGCCTAGCTCAGAGAAAGAATTGAAGCCCATCCAGAACATTAGTCTCTTTTTCTTTCTCTTCTTGTCATTTTTATTTGAGTAAATTGCTGAAACACCCCTTGAATTCGAACCCCCATTGAACTTAACCCTCTGAATTAAAAAACCAGTTAATTTAGCACTTGAACTTATCAAAACAACTAATTTAGCCATTATTGTTAATGTTCTGGAATTTCATCCAATTTTCCATCAATAGTAAGAGCAAATTTGTAATTTTGACTAAAATTAAAGTCAAATACATAAAACTAAAATAAAGATCATAAAAACTAAAATTACTTCATAGGAAATTATAAAGTTAAAAAAAAAAAAAAAAAAAAAAACCAGACCAAAGACCCACACCCTTCCTCCTACAACCATGGATCCCAACCCTATCTAGCATCCCTTATCTCTTTCTCCATGCAACTCACTTCATTGTACACTCTATTTCTCCTCAACCTAGTTCAGAACACACCGCTTTGGTTCAATTGCCACGAAGTTAAGGTCCTGAAGGATTCAAGTCTAGCATGGAAGCTGAGGGAAAGGTGTGGGTGAGCAAAGACAACAACTTTATTGCACCATTTGGAAGAAACCGATAGACTAAAAGGGGTGATGGGGAACTTGAATCTAACCATGGCTTAGAAGAAACCACCACAAGGGGCTTTTTATTCAAAACTGCCCCAATGGACTTATTCACTAACCTAAAAGGAAGAGACGAGAAGAGATGAGGGGGTGGAGGGGCAATGGTGCTTCTTTCTCCTCCCCCCTCTATGGAATTTTCCTTTAGGACTCACAGAGGGAGAGAACGACTAGGGTTTAGGAGGACAACGTAACTTTTAGATGGGTAAGAGTAGAATCTGGGCTCAAGGGATGTTAGAGATCTGAGAAATTGGATGGGATTTGAGTAGGGATGGTGGTGGTGGAGAATTTGTGAAGATGATGGATTTTTGATGTGTTGTGTTCATTTTTTATGTTTTTTACATTTTCTAAATGTTTTGATTCGTAGTAATAAGGGTTAATTACAATTTTGGTCACCGCACTTTTAATTTTTCGATTTCGGTCATCACATTTTGCATCATTAGCAAATCAAGTCCAATTGGGGAATTCCGTCAGTTATGACGCACGTGGTGCATGCGTGTAGGGGTATTATTTCCCTTTTGCCTCATCCCCTTAATAAAAAATCATATTCATCTAGGTGAGTTTTTGAGTTAATATACGCCTTTATTGCTATTGTGGGGTTGGTTTGTTGTTATTTTTAGTGTGTTGTGGTAGTACTTTATATGCATTTATCACGTGTTGGTTTATTGTTATTTTTAGTCTGTTGCGGTAGTACTTTATATGCATTTATCACGTATGAAATAGACTGAGCATGGTGGATGAATAGTTTAATGTGGAAAAAGGATGTGGCTTTTAGAGAGTGTTATCTGGTAGTGCTTTAGGAACATAATATGAATGTTTTTAAATTTTTTATTTTATGGTGGATGAATAGTTTAATGTGGAAAAAGGATGTGGCTTTTAGAGAGTGTTATCTGGTAGTGCTTTAGGAACATAATATGGATGTTTTTAATTTTTTTTTTTTATAGAATATAATATGTATGGTATTGTTAACTATATTGCCAAAAACGAGATAGAGAGATAAAAGAAGAGAAGAATGTAGAGATACACCAGAGACGAAGAGGTTGACTTGTACTGATGGTAAGAGACAAACTAAGATTGAGACAGAGATAGGTTGAGGGAGGTTGAGAGGATGAAGTCGTCGAGCCAACGAGCGAAATAAGAGGCAGAGAGAGTGAGATGAGATGGTCCCTAAACTTCTAACCTAGCATCTAATCTAACGGCTGGAATGAAATAATAACTTGAAATTATACTGTATAATTTTAATATATGCGGTCGGTATCCAAAATCGTATATTTCGAATAATTAAAATTGCACCCGCAAATCGCATATTGTGGTCCGTGCAAAAGCCACAAATTGCCGTCCGTGTTTCGCAATGAGAGGTTCACTTTCGGTATAGTTGCGGTCGATTTTCACAGTTTTGCGGTACAAAATGCCAGGTTATGTCATTATTTCAGTATTCATTTTCTAGTTAGAGTGAAAATATCACAAAATGCCAACCTAAGCATTTTGGGGCTACCATAATTTTAGAACGTGATTTTTTTCATTTCCTATTAAAGAAATGAAGGCCACCTGTCTGTCTCCATATGCAAAGCTCCAAATAACTGGTAAATGACCCCATTAATAAATAACGGAGATATTAATGATTCATTTCTGCATTCTGTTTTCTCCCCTTATGCTTCACCCGACTTTCAGAAAAACTTGTATAAAACGGAGATAACACTATTTTGTTATCCTCATCCAATTACAGGCTATCACGTGTAAAAGTGATCATGCGTGATATACGATGATTGGCCGGAGATAACAAAATAGTGTTATCCCCATTTCATGTAAATATTTCCCAACTTGGCCCAAAATGCACTCAATGAATAGTGACTTTCACCTTCGTTCCGAGGTTCTAGGTTCGATTCTCCTCTCCTCTCGTATGTCCTGTATTAATAAATAAATAAAATAGTGACCCTGACCTCAACTTGGCGCATAAATTAATTTTTAGCTTAAATGTCAAAATAGTCCTTGTGTTTTATTACATTGGCCAATTTAGTCCCTATGTATAGCGCTGTTAGCCAATATAGTCCAATCCGTTAAATTTATTGTTAAATAAACATTATAAACATTTTTTTGTTCTTTTAAACACCTATGAATCTTTTTAAAATTAATTAAAAAAAGTTGAATTAACTTAAAAATATATTAAAACATAACATTTGAAAAACAAACAAACAGGGAATTTGTAAAAACCAAAACAAAGCTTGTAATATATTAAAGCTTGGAGTTGTGTGGTGGCTGTGTGTCTTGGCAATCGGCGCTTTGAGGTGTGGGTGGGGCAATGGGATACAGGATGAGGTGTCTTATTTTTTGATTTTTTCCAGTTCTTATTTATTTATTTATAAATTCAATTCAATTGTTATATTAGTTTTTTATTAAAAACTTTTTAACAACAAATTAACAAATTGGGCCTCATTTGCTCACGGCACTAAACACAGGAACTAAACTGGTCAAATTAAAAACATGTTGGTCAACACTATAAAACACAAGTACCTTTTGGGTTTAGCTGGAGTGAGTTAGTTATATATCCAAGTTAGAGTGAAAATATCACACACATAGGTACTCAACAAAATGAAGTTCACAGGAGGAGGCATGCTCTGTTTCTTTTGGTACTCTTTTGTTCTTGTTTCCTCTGCTTTTTCAGCTCAAAGCTTCAAGGAAAATGAAGAAATTCAAAGGTCTCAGTTCCCAGATGGCTTCTTGTTTGGAGCCAGCACTTCATCTTACCAGGCATTTTTCACTTCGTCTTCTTCCTCTTCTTGAATTCTTTCTTTGCTGATCTGCAACTATCTCAACTTTGAATTTGCTACCTCTTTTGATTTTATAAGGTTGAAGGTGCTTATCTTGAAGATGGCAAGAGCCTAAGCAACTGGGATGTCTTCTGCCACACTCCAGGTAAACAAAGAACTAACAATGTTGTCAGAACCCCACCGCCCCACCCCCCCACACAAAAAAAAAACTAATCTTGACACTTAATATTTTCATGGATTTTCAGCAAATTAATGTATATATTTTAAAAATACTTCAGGAACAATAGAAAGTAATGAGAATGGGGATGTTGCAGACGACCATTACCATCGCTACTTAGTAAGTCTTCAGAACAATTAAAGGAGAAAACAAACACATAAAATATAGTGAGCAAATTAATTAAATTTTTGAGATGAATTGTGTATGTATATGAATTTATATAGGAAGACATTGAGCTGATGCATTCCCTGGGAATGAATTCATATCGCTTCTCTATTTCATGGGCTAGAATTCTACCCGGTATGTTGTTTCATATTATCTTAATTAATTAGTTTTTTTGGTTAATCTGGGATATTTGCAACTCAATTAAAATGATCTTCTTGAGCTAAAAACAGATGGGATGCTCGGCAAAACCAATCCAAGTGGGATCACCTTTTATAACAAACTTATAGACCATCTGTTGCTCAAAGGTGCATAATCTGATCTTAAATTCAAGACCAATTAAAATTTTCTAAATTAAAATATATCTATATGCATGATTTGGATTTTGGATGCATAATGCAGGGATAGAGCCATTTGTGACAGTGCACCACTATGACATGCCCCAAGTTCTAGAACAAAGAGATGGGGGTTGGCTTAGTCCGCTATTACGGTATGATTTTTATTTCTATTTTTGAAACAACACTATATTTGGAACTCTTGGCAATTAAGCTTTTACTGATCTTGCAACATTTTATTGAATTCTTTGTTGTTGAAGGGAAGAATTTGCACATTTTGCCTCCATATGCTTCAAGAGCTTTGGGGACAGGGTGAAGTACTGGATTACCTTCAATGAACCCAATCTCGTGAGTGAGTTTGCCTATATAAGGGGATGGTACCCACCAGCTCATTGTTCACCCCCTTTTGGGAACTGTTCAAGTGGCAACTCTGATACCGAGCCTCTCATCGCAATGCACAACATTTTACTAGCTCATGCCATGGCAGTTGACACATATCGTAGGGTTTTTTGGGTACGTAATTCGGTAATTGCATGTAAACATTGTTTGACATGTTTTGGTCTGACATATAAGCATAAATAATTTCTCAAAAGCACAGAAAGACACATATCAAACTGTGATTTGTCTATAGGGAATTTGAACTTGTATTTTCCATTGCGATGCGAATATGAACTTGTTCTTAGCTGAAGTTGGAAACGTACCACTTATTGGGTTTAAATTTGAGGGTGTATATATCATATATGTGATAACTTTTATGTTGACACAGCCAAAACAGCATGGGTTTATTGGAATTGTTGCAAATGCACACATGTATGAACCGCTGAGAGATGATGAAAGGGATCGGCATGCTGTTGATAGAGCTTTGGCTTTCAATGTCGCATGTTAAGTGTTTATTTTTCTAATCTGTGTTTCTACCAATTTGCTTATAATATTATAAGATCTGATCACAGCACAATAGAATAGAAGTGTAGAAATTAAGAGTACACAAAGCATGACTAAACTTTTTTTCTTTTCTTAACAGGATGTTTGATCCTTTAGTGCATGGAGATTACCCTTCTGAAATGCGCGAATGCCCTGGATTGGAATTGCCAAGGTTTTCCCACAACGAAAAACAGCTATTAAGAGGCAGCATAGATTTTATAGGCTTCAACCACTATTCAACTCTATACGTCAAGGACTGTATCCACTCTGCTTGCCCCTTAGGCGGTGACCATGCCATTAGAGGCTTTCTCAACACAACCGGGTATCGAGATGGCGTACCAATTGGAGAACCGGTATATCGAACATTACTCTTGATATAATCAGTGGGACATGTTACGTTATCAGACTATAATGCATGACATGCCCGTGCCTTGCAAACAAAATCATTTGGCAACATAATTTTGGCATAGCTATTGTACCCTTGCATCATCAGCCTTGTTATTTCCCCCTTCTTTTCTTGGATAAATTTTCATAATTTATTTCTTCTTCCATGGCTATTGGATTTTGGTTCCTTCATATATTAGTTAACAAGGTGCTCTCAACTTGTGCTGTGTTTCAAAGACTGGAATGCCTAGGTTTTTTGTGGTTCCGAGAGGCATGGAGAAGATGCTTGATTATCTAAAGCAAAGATACAATAACAAGCCCATGTTTATTACTGAAAACGGTAAAGCCAATATCACAACTTGTGATTGAAAACCTGTTCATATATCCAACAATTTTCTCAACTATGTGGCAGGATACTCTTCACCAACCCCACAGACTGAACTACAAGATTGGAACAGGATCAAGTTTCACAAAGCTTACATGGCCTCTGTGGCCAGAGCAATAAGGTATCATCAATGAATTAGTTCTTCGGTAATCCTCAAAGCAATGATATAAATTTTCAATATTAATTTTGAAATTCTAATTGACAGGAATGGGGCTGATGTTCGTGGATATTTCATTTGGTCCTTGATGGATAATTTTGAGTGGCTCAGTGGATACACCACAAGATTTGGTTTGTATTATGTCGATCGAAAAACGCTTCACCGAACTCCAAAGCTTTCTGCAGGATGGTTTGCTAGTTTCCTCAGAAACAGTAGTCACAACGATGCCAAAGATAGTGTAATTGAGAGAATAGAGATGAAATTGGAGAAGAAGATTTGCAGAGAATGCTAATCTGAAATTGTATTACTCACATGGAGAGATATATGCAATTGTACAAGGTTAATTATTAGTTACATCTAATACCACAAATCTTGGAAAGGTATCCCTAAAACATGGATATGTAAACATCCCTAAAACATGAATATGTAAACATGGAAAAGTATGAGAGATGGTAGACAAGCTTTCCTTGGTTTAGGGTCTTGTCTATGTCTTGTCTTTGTCTTAACTAACAAACGATAATATTATATTTAGCCAACTGGAAGCTAAAGTTGCTGAAATGTAGAAAAAGTCCTTGTTAATGATAATGATGAGACTTGTAAGACTTTTTGGCCAAAATTATTATGGCTTGTAATAGGGCAAATTACTCAAATGGTCCTCAAATTTATACCCGATTTACATTTTGGTCCCTCAATTAAATTATTTGTTCAAATGGTCCATCAACTCTATATTAATCGCTCCATTGATCCTACCGCTAAATTATGTTAATGTTGCCGTCAAATGTACGGGTAAAACCATCCATAACTGTCCTATGTTCCCCAAATAGGTGATAAAGTGGTGATACATAGGTGATAAAGGGGCAATATAGTAGTGATAAAAGGGTGATACATAGGTCAAAAGTCTTATTTACCCCCACAAATGTGGCATGTTGCTCGCATGACTAAATTTAACAGAAAATGTAACGGTAGGACCAAAGTGCCGATTAAGAAAGAGTTGGTGGACCATTTGAACGAATAATTTAGTTTAGAGACCAAAATGTAAATCGGGTACAAATTTGAGGATCATTTGAGTAATTTACCCCTTGTAATATTATATTAAAGAGCTTTTAGCTAGCTACTTCATTTGGCCACCCTAAAAATCAATTTTGGGCATAAGAGAAATTGAAACCACCTGTTTATCTCCATATGCAAAACTCTAAATAATTGGCAAATGAAAAGACCCTTCAAACAAGTAATGAATTTTTTTCTTTTTTGATTCACTTCTGTTTTTTCATAAGGTTTGTTCGTTGTCCCAGAAATAGAATGCAGTGAATTATAGATGGCCCCTCACCTTGTGTATTAAATATTCTTGCAAGTGGGATCTAGCTCACTGGAGAAGTACCTTGATTTGCAGACTAATGGTCTCAGATTTGTAATCCCATGAAACATTGGGAGTGTGTGTGAGAAAACTCTCTCCCCCTATATCGCTTGTATAAAAATAAATAAATAAATAAAGTTCTTGCCATACCTTGTGACGGAGCCACTCTTAGACTTGGAGTGGCCTTAGCCCTCCATTTTTTTTTATCTCTCCTCTATTATATTATATATAACACATAAAATCTGTGATAAACCACTTATAATTTAAGTTGAAGTTCCCTCTAAAACAAATTAGACATGACTAAATTAGAAATATTTAGCTCTAAACATGTACTTATTGAATACTTAGGTATTTTATCTACTTGTATTTTCTATTTTGGCCCCCTAATTTTACAATTCTAGCTCCGCCCCATACCCAAATGTTGATATATATACCAACTTGATACCACGAAAATCGAAACCAACAAAATGGAGTTCAGGGGAGGCAAGCTCTGTTTCTTGTGCTCGTGCTCTGTTTTCCTCATTTTCTCTGTTTTTTAGCTCAAAGTTTCGAACAAGATGAAGAAAAAGTCCAAAGGTCTCAGTACCCAGATGACTTCTTCTTTGGTGCATCCACTTCATCTTATCAGGCATTTTCCTCTTCTTCTTCTTCTTCTCATCAAACTCTTTCTTTATTTCTGCAACTATCTGAACTTTGAATTGGCTTTTCATTCAAATTTATAAGGTTGAAGGTGCTTATCTTGAAGATGGTAAGAGCCTAAGCAATTGGGATTTTTTCACTCAAATTCCAGGTAACTCTAAATATTATTTACTACAAAGCTGTTCTGTAACTCTCCATGGATCTTTGTACTCACCAAATTAATTTCTGCACAGGAAAAATAGAGGATAATGACAATGGAGAAGTTGCAGACGACCATTACAACAGCTACTTGGTATTGATCTTTCCATCCGCACTCTTTCATATTCTCAAGTTTCTGAAAGTAACTTGTGTGTATATGAATCTATATGTAGGAAGACAATGAGCTAATGCATTCCTTAGGGACAAATGCACACCGGTTCTCCATGTCCTGGGCAAGAATTCTACCCGGTATGGTGCCGGCTTTGTGTATCTTCATTTGGTTTATGGTTTAATCTTGTTTTTTATTTGCTTTTTTCTGTTAATCTGGGATTGTTACAACTTAGTTTAAATTTGAAATGATCTTCTTGAGCCATTCACAGATGGGATACTCGGCTCAGTCAATCCAAGAGGGATCATCTTTTATAATAAACTTATAGACAATCTGCTAAGCAAAGGTACCTGTGCACACACGAGTCCCACTTCACAATGTGATTCAATTCTTAAGGACCATACAAGTAAACAAATTAGCGAAATTAGACAACGTATAGTCATCTGATTCTAATTGTGCCACAATGCAGGAATATAGCCATTTGTGACCCTTCACCAAGTCAGAATTGCTACAAGGTCATTGTGGGGCAGGTCATTGCTCTATTCTTTAGTCATCTGATTCTAAGTTCTTAGAGACTTATTTTATAATTGAAAGGGGTACTTATTACAACAAGGTCATGTCGTTTGGATTGAAGAACGCCGGAGCAACGTACCAGAAGATGGTGAACAAGATTTTTAAGAAGCAGATCGGCAAAACAATGGAGGTCTACGTCGCCAATATGCTGGTCAAAGCTCCCCAGCCATGACAACTGTGTTTGTTAAAAACAATTAGAGTTGAATTAGAGAATAAATTAGTTTTAATCTCAACTTTATTTGTAACAATTAAAAGAGAAAACAAACACATAATAAATATATAGTGGGCAAATTAATCAACTTTTTTGAAAATAACTTGTGTATATGAATTTATATAGGAAGACATTGAGCTGATGCATTCCCTAGGAATGAATTTAAAAAAACACTATATTTGGAACTCTGGGCAATTAATCTTTCACGGATTTTAAAGATTTTATTGAACTCTTTGTTGTTGAAAGGAAGAATTTGCACATTTTGCCTCCGTATGCTTCAAGAGTTTTGGGGTACGTAATTCGGTAATTGCATGTAAACATCGCTTGACATATTTTGGTCTGATATATAAGTATAAATAATTTCTCAGAAGCACATAAAGATATTTTTTGTACATGTGTAAAACTGTGATCTATCAATGAGGAAGAATGACTCCTTCGAGAAAACAACAAAGTATTTTCCACTGTTAATATGAGCTCGTTCTTAGCCAAAGTTGGAAATGTTACCACCAATTGGGTTTAAATTTGAGGGAGCATCTATATAACTGTAATGTTGATACAGCCAAAACAACATGGGTTTATTGGAATTGTTGCAAATACGCACACGTATGAACCGCTTAGAGATGATGAAAGGGATCGACTTGCTGTTGATAGAGCTTTGACTTTAAATGTGGCATGGTAAGTGCTTATTTTCTAATCTGTGTGTACCAATTTTACTTATAATATTATAAGGTGCATATGACTTTGATGCCAAAAAGTATTTAGGGTATTGCATAACACAACACAAAAGAAGTGTACAAATTTAGAGTACACAAATGCATGACTATAACTTCTTTTTCTTTCTAAACAGGGTGGTTGATCCTTTAGTGCTTGGAGATTACCCTGCGGAAATGCGAGAATGCCCTGGCTTGGAATTGCCAAGGTTTTCCCCCAGTGAAAAAGAGTTGTTAACTTAAGAGGCAGCATCGATTTCATCAATGTGAACCACTATTCAACTTTATATGCAAGGACTGTATCCACTCTGCTTGCCCCTTAGGCGGTGACCATGCCATTAGAGGCTTTTCCAAACTAATTGGATGTCGATATGGCGCTCCAATCTGTATATCCAACATTGCTCTTGACAATCAGTATGACATGTTATGCTATCAAACTATAATGCATGGCATGCCTGTGCCTTGCAAACAAAATCATTTGGCATAGCTATTGTGTCCTTGCATCATTAGCCTTCTTTTCTTGGATAAATTCATTTCTCAATTTAATTCTTCTTTCATGGCTATTGGATTTTAGTTCGTTCATATATTAGCTAACAAGGTGGTCAATTACAAAGGTTCTTTGTTGTTCCAAGAGGCATGGAGAAGATAATTGATTATCTTAAGCAAAGAAACAACAACATGCCCATGTTTGTTACTGAAAATGGTAAAGCCAATATCACAACTTGTTTAATTTCATTGATGGAAAACAGGTCATATATATATGGAACAATGTTTTCAATTGTGGCAGGGTACTCTTCACCAACGCCACAGAATGAACTACAAGATAGGAACCGGATCAAGTTTCACAAAGCTTACCTGGCCTCTTTAGCCAGAGCAATAAGTTTTGCCAATCAATTAATTTAGTCTCTTCGATAATCTTCAAAGCCATGATATAAATAAATGTGCAATATTAATTTTGAAATTCTAATCGGCAGGAACGGGGCTGATGCACGTGGATATTTCGTTTGGTCCTTGATGGATAATTTTGAGTGGCTCAGTGGATACACCACAAGATTTGGTTTATATTATTTTGATCAAAAAACACTTGAGCGAACTCCAAAGCTTTCTGCAGGATGGTTTGCCAGTTTCCTCAGAAAGGGTATTCATGCGGTTTGTGTCTCTGCAGGTGACGAGCATGCCGTGGCACTTGATTCCAGTGGATATGTTTGTCTCCAAACCGAAGATGAAGTTTCTATATTTTATTGTTTATTCTCGGCATGTATTTGAATTCTGACCAAAACGGTTCTAACTTTCAGTATGGCAATTGCAGGTATATTTGGGGTAAAGGCTACTGTGGTGCATTAGGCCATGGGGATGAGATTGACAAGACTACCCCAGAACTCTTGAACAAGCTTAAAAGCCACCTCGCTGTACAGGTTTGGTTTGTTCATTCTTTTGATCATTTCTGATAAAGTTGTTATTTTTTGTGTCAATTGTTCTTCAAGGTTGCCGAGAATTGTTAAGAATAGATGCAATAGTCCAAAGCAAGGACAATCTTTGGCGTTGCAAAACTTGCAAACCTGTTGAAAAGAATCAAATCTGTGCATCTCTCTCTTTTGTTTTTCCCAGTTCACGGGGAACCTCTCATTCTAATCCGTAGGTGTGCTTTAACAGTTATTGTATTCTGTAGGTGTGTGCTAGAAAGAGGAAGACCTTCGTTCTCGGTGACAATGGTTCAGTATATGGTTGTGGTTGGATGGGGTTTGGCAGTCTTGGATTTCCAGACAGGGGAGTATCTGATAAAATCTTGAGCCCTAGAATCCTTGATAGCTTTAAGAGCTCATCATTAGAGGCTTAAGTGAATCTCACAACGCATCAATGACTGGACGATTGTTGTTAGCACTCCTTCTCCCATGTCCCATGGAAAACTAGCTTTATACCATATTAGGCATGTACCACAAGGATTTGCCATCTTTTGGCAGACATGAATAAGGCAGTCTTTAATCCTTCGTAGCCTTGTAGGTAACATAATAAATCATACGACAGGGGTGGTAAAGTTTAATATGATGGGACTTTCTTTAAGGGTCATCTTTTGGGATTTTAATTTTAAACCAGAAAAAAGGCATTTCAGTTAACAGTCATTTTTATCATTTATTTCTGTACCATAAGACAGCACCTACTGTCACAACGACAGGGAAGAAATTAGGCCAACTAAAATCAATTTTGGGCTCCACCACTAATTGGAGGCATAAGAGAAATGGAAACAATGTTTAACCATCCCAAAAGAATTGACCAATCAGTGGAAGAACCAGAGATTTACATTGTCGGTGCTTGGAGATTTATGCGGCCGATGGTCGGAGATTTACATCGCCTGCAATCAAAGTTAGGTGATTGTCAAAAGAAATATTAATAATAAAGTTCTTGCCATACCCAAATGTTTATATATATACCAACTTGATATCACGAAAATCGAAAGCAACAAAATGGAGCTCAGGGGAGGCAACCTCTGTTTCTTGTACTTGTTCTCTGTTTTCTTCATTTTCTCTGTTTTTTTAGCTCAAAGCTTCAAACAAGATGAAGAACAAGTCCAAAGGTCTCAATTCCCAGATGGCTTCTTCTTTGGTACATCCACTTCATCTTATCAGGCATTTTCCTCTTCTTCTTCTTCTTCTCATCAAACTCTTTCTTTATTTCTGCAACTATCTGAACTTTGAATTGGCTTTTCATTCAAATTTATAAGGTTGAAGGTGCTTATCTTGAAGATGGTAAGGGCTTAAGCAACTGGGATTTTTTCACTCAAATTCCAGGTAACTCTAAATATTATTTACTACAAAGCTTTTTTTTTTTTTTGTGTGGTAACTTTTCATAGATCTTTGTACTCACCAAATTAATGTCTGCACAGGAAAAATAGCGGATGATGACAATGGAGAAGTTGCAGACGACCATTACAACCGCTACTTGGTATTGAACTTTCCATATAGATCACCCCTTTCTCATCCACTTTCCTTCATATTCTCCACTTTGAAACAATAAAATAGAAAACAAACACATAACAGTGAGCAAACCATTTAACTTTCTGAAATTATCTTGTGTGTATATGAATCTACATGCAGGAAGACATTGAGCTGATGCATTCCTTAGGAACAAATGCATACCGGTTCTCCGTTTCCTGGGCTAGAATTCTACCTGGTACGGTGCCCGCTTTGTGTTATCTTAATTTGGTTTATGGTTTAATCTTGTTTTTTGTTTGCTTTGTTCTGTTGTTAATCTGGGATTTTTACAACTTAGTTTAAATTGGAAATGATCTTCTTGAGCCATTCACAGATGGGATGCTCGGCTCAGTCAATCCAAGAGGGATTATCTTTTATAATAAACTTATAGACAATCTTCTAAGCAAAGGTACCGGTGCATGAGCACTCGATTTACTAAGTAGCAAGTTACTAGCCAAATTAAACAACTTTTAGTCATCTAACTCTGCTACCATGCAGGAATAGAGCCATTTGTGACAATTCACCACCATGACCTGCCCCAAGTACTAGAACAAAGAGACGGGGGTTGGCTCAGTCCGGTATTAAGGTACAAGTAAAACTATTTGCACAACGTCTACTAATCAGATTCATATATTTGTGATCCGTAAGTGTGGTTCAAATAGCAATATTCATTATGGCATTCTCTGCTATGATAAGTGATATAACTATGTCAAGCTTTTAGGAGTTCTCAAGAGTTCATTCTTTCACTGTTGGTGCAGGGAAGAGTTTGTACATTTTACCTCTATATGCTTTGAGAGTTTTGGAGATAGGGTAAAGTACTGGGTTACCATAAATGAGCCCAATATGATGGCTAAATTTGCCTATCTCAAAGGACTATATCCACCGGCTCATTGTTCTCCACCATTTGGCAATTGTTCCACTGGCAATTCTGACATTGAGCCTCTTATTGGAATGCACAACATGTTAATAGCACATGCTATGGCTGTTGAAATGTATCGTACTTTTTTCTGGGTATGTATTTTTTTCTTCATCAAACTGTTAACTACTTCATTTTTTATACAAACGATAATAGGGGGATTCAAACTCGGATGCAGAGTGAGGAACAACTCCGCTCTATCCAACTTGGCTAAACTCATATCTACTTAACTACTTACATTAATGTTACAGCCGAAACAAAATGGGTTTATTGGAATTGTTGCGCATGCATTCATGTATGAACCGCTCAGGGATGAAGAAAGGGATAGGGATGCTGTTGATAGAGCCTTGGCTTTCAATGTGGCCTGGTAAGTGCTCTTCAATTTGTTTAGCCATAATTTATTAGTAATCATATGTTTCACGAGTCCTTTAAATCTTAATAATTTATTGAAAAAGTTCTATTTTTTCAGTCCACTAGGAAATAATTTATTTAATTAACAACCACCATGAATAAAATATTGTTTAAGGTAGCCATTTTCCAAGTTTATATTATCTGACCAAATATTTAAAACCTTAACTATTTGTCCCTTCTGATTTCTTTTTGATGGGAACTAAGGCCATCTCCAGTCATGAGCCATAGACCAAATATAGCTCTAAATTAATGCAAAATCTATTTTCAGCCATGGGCTAAAAAAATTTTTGGCCACATTTGGCCCTTTAGCCCTCCAACTAGGCCAAATATAGCCTAGCTTTGGCTTATGCTAAATTTTTTTGTGGACTCAGCGCATGTGCTTCCAAAGAGGAGAAAGTATCATGTGTGGGCAAGAGCACGAAACATCTCGTGCAACTGTAGATCCAACAGCCAATATTAAAGGCGCGTTGACATCATTGATGGCGTCAGCTAGCCGTTCAGTTTTTATTTTTATTTTTAATAACCTTTTTAAATATTTTTAAATTCATTTTGTTTTTAAAATATATATATATTTATAAAATTGATTTCTGATCATTGGAGTTCAGAATCATTGATTGAAAAGTTATTTTTTATTTATTTATTTAAAACCTTTTAAAATGTTTTGAATTCATTTTGTTTAATATATATTAAAAAATATTGTCTCTAAATCATAGTTTAATTAAATTAAACAATACATAGTTGTGGAATAATATGAGTGTTGTACCATAGTTTTTCTCAAAATAATAAAATATGAAGGGCCCTAAAATATAGTCATGCATGGCTGGAGATGGAAAAATTTAGCCCTACACTATGCTTTAAAAAATTAATTTTTTGAAGGGCTAAAATTTAGCTCTACGACTGAAGATGGCCTAAGATTTTGCACGTCCCTTTTAAATAAAATATGGCAACGTTCATTCTGTTGATATTTTATATATAAAAATATTACACCTTCTTTCTAAATGAAGCAAATAAAACATGAGCTTTGTAGTTGTTTGCGGATGGACTCAACCAATCCGAACAAATATATTCCGAATTATTATAGAATGAAAAAAAAAGAAAGAAATGGTGCTTCATTTAGAAATAAAAAAAAATTGGATGCCATATAAACTAATGAAACTTGTGATAAATTTATTGTATAAAGAAATCATAGATGACACAAATTGAATTTTTAAAATAAAAAATTATAGTTAAGTGTATTAGTTATGCAACAAAATAATAATTATAGGTTATTTATTTTCAATTTGTCATTAGGTTTTACATGACTTGCTGCATACTTTAACCTCACTAAATTAATAAAAAAATGTAGCTTCATAATCATGAGATCCGCCATTTCTTCGCTGGTAGGCATTTCCGAAGACTCTTGTAAATGTTCAAAGAAAAGCAAAGCCTCATGAAAACATCTTCCGATTTTTAATATGAGTCTAGGTTTCATCAAGTGGATCAGATTCACCTGCCCCATACAGATATTGTAGTTGTTAGTCTCGTCATGTTAAAATTCAAATCCCTCTTAGAATTTTGATTAAAATTTGGTACGATGGTAAAGATTATGTCATGAGATACTGTTACGAGTTTACCCAAATTATAACATGTATGTTTATTAAGGCAAAACGAGTGGGCAGGAGGGGCCTTAGCCCAGTTTGTAGCTTCCAGCAGGCTTCTACAGCCCGGGCAAATGGTGGGGACCACCAACCCGAGTAAGCCAAAAGGTAAAACAAGCTCGTGCTTGAGGGCAACTGACGTCAGCAATAAATAAAAAAATCTTAAAAAATACCAAAAATTTCGGAATGTTTTTTAATAAATACCTAGTCATATTCTTCACTTCCTACACCAAAACTCTATACAAATTCCTCCCCTCATATCTCATGTGAATAGTGGTTGTCCTTGGGTTGCCATGGCAATAGGTGGAAACACAAGAAGTTTTTTGAAAGGGCTGTTACTATTCACATGAATAGTAACAGTCCTTCCCCTTTGCCATGGCAAATGGGTGGAAATGCCCTAAATGGTGAATCTTGAACCTATCACAAGTGTTATAAATTATGTGAATTTCTATTATTTCAAGACACTAATTTCTCGAGAATAGAAGTGTACAAAGAGTACACAAATCGTACTATAGGTCTTTAGTTTTGTATATTCTATTTACTGTTTATACAATAGAAGTGTACAAAGAGTACACAAATCGTACGCAAAAAGTACGTAGGTGACTATTTTTTTTTTCTTGTCTAAACAGGACATTTGATCCTGTAGTGTATGGAGATTACCCCGCTGAAATGCGCCATTGCCATGGCTTGGAGTTACCAAGGTTTTCCGCCAAAGAGAAACAGCTTTTGAGAGGAAGCATAGACTTTATCGGTGTCAACCACTATTCAACTCTATATGTCAAGGACTGTATTCACTCTCCTTGCCCCTCTGGGGGTGACCGTCCCATCATGGGATTTCTCAACACAACTGGGTATCGAGATGGGGTTCCAATTGGAGAACCGGTATATCAAACATACTATATTGTTATATCGTGAAATAGTATGACATAATATGTTATCAGACTATCAACTTTATACGATCTATAGTTAGATCGATAGTCTGAGAATATGATCTTCTTTGTTGCCTAATTGGTTTTTGGTTTCTTTTCTATATTAGCTAACAAGGTCAACTGGTGTCTTGTCTTTCACATATAGACTGGACTGGATGATTTCTTCCTTGTTCCAAGAGGCATGGAGAAGATCATTGACTATGTTAAGCAAAGATACAATAACATGCCCATGTTTGTGACTGAAAATGGTTAGTGGATGGTACAACTTGTTTATTTCATTGATTGTAAACAGATTCATATATCGAACAATTTTTTTTTTGTTTCAACTATGTGGCAGGATGCACTTTACAAACACAAGAGAATGAACTAGAAGACGGGGATCGGATCAACTTTCACAAATCTTATCTTGCCTCTTTAGCCAGAGCAATAAGGTTTTTTACAAACAATTAATTTGAGTCTCTTCGATATTCCTCAAAGCAATGATATATATAATATAAACGTGGAAATATTAATTTTCTGATTTTAATTGACAGAAGTGGTGCTGATGTACGTGGATATTTCGTTTGGTCCGTGATGGATAATTTTGAATGGATCAATGGATACACCAAAAGATTTGGCTTATATTATGTTGATCGGGAAACACTTGAGCGAACTCCAAAGCTTTCTGCAGGATGGTTTGCTAGTTTCATCAGAAACAATAGTCACAACGACAGGGAAGAAATTAGGGCCGCTTCAGGTCATAACAAGACTATTATATTTAGCCAACTGGAAGCTAAAGTTGCGGAAATGTAGTTTATATCACACATTCACTTCCATTTGTTGCATGTTTCTCTCTTTTATCTAGAGGCATATATGCATATTGAATCATCATTTTTAAATAAGGAAATGCTGTGATTAAGAGGGTTTCTGTATACTTGAAATTTCTATTTGTTTCCCTTTTTTCGGCAAAGGTGTGGCCGACGGAAGGAACTTTTGGTCTTTCTTTTCTTAGATTGAGTAGGCATGCCATTACCAAGCCGCTGGTTGGCTTGAATGGAAAAAGTTGGATATTTGTGTTCGCGCTTCTGACTTCTAACTAGCTGATTGATCGGTCAAGCAAGGAACCTCCTCTTAGCTTAGGTTCTTTCACTTCCTCAGGATCGAGGATGGTTAGGTTTCGTATGGGTATTTTTAGTAATTTTCAGGATTTAATGATAATGACGTAAATTAAATTAATAGGCGATTAATTTAAATAACAAGAAAGTAAATTTAAAAATAAGATCGAAGCAACAATAAACTTAACTTTAAGTAAGAATGAAACACAAACGATATGAACGACAAACGTGATAAAATAAAGTAATATGAAATTAAATTAAATTAAACGTAAAGCAAATTTGATAACAAAAAGTAAAGCAATAGACTTGAATCTTAAAACAACGTAATGAAAAAGGCAAGAAATTAAACTTACACTAACAAAAGCGAAGAATTGATCTAGTCTACTTGCTTGGAAAATAAAAACCTAGTCAGAGATAGAAGAGTGAAACACAAAAAGTAGGTTTTTATGTCTGATGTCCAGGGTCTTCCTTCCTTCATCTGATAAGGTTTATATAGGGGCATCCGTCAGTCCAAGGGCTGGCCATTATGGCCAGAGGTCAACTTCGTTCAAAATCTTTCCTTGTGTGGCTTCCTAAATCGGCGGAATTGATTTGAATGAGATTATCGGATTGCATATATGATCACTTGATTCTCTCCTCCTTATGAATGTTCTGGATTGACATCACTTTCTTTGATTGCTTTCCTTGGATGGATCTCGTCACGTGCATGAAAACATCCGGAGGTTTTGGGCCTACTTCCACGAGTTCGCTTGAACCTCCGAGGACTTGGCTTGACATATGGTGAGACATTGTGGATTTCGAAGTCCTATTCTTGATTGAAAATAATCCACCGATGTTGGGGAGGCATGAGAGCCCAAGGAATTGTGTGAGCTATAACCAACTCGTGACGAGCCCACAAAATTTTTGAACTAAGTAATCATTTAGTATACCAGTTTTGATAAAATTACATATATAATAATTAATATTTATATATGTAAGCTATGAAAGGCTTATTAATAACGCCCATGCCATAAGATTTCTTCACTTAATATATATATATATATATATATGTTCTTGATATGATAATCATCCAACTTGGCCATTGTTTTTGGCTGGGGCGAGTGACTAGGCTACAAAGAGGTTCTCATAAGGTGGGTCCTAGACACTACTTCTATCATTTTGAACTTGAGCATTCTCAAGTCACAAAATCATTACCCAAAGCTAAGGACCATCTTAGGCTTCCAAACTCTTGGCCACCTTGAAATTATCAAAGTGATGGGTTTTCTTACCTCAATGAACTTTTGACTTCTTCCAGCCAACTCCTTGGCCATTCTCCCAGCCAAGTTTTCGACCTGTTCTCTCAGCCAAGTCCTTGACTTGTTCTCCATTATCCAGCCAACTCAAAAGGCCATTCTTTTGGCCATTTTATTTATACTAATATGTATAATAGAAATAAGCAAATCTTACTTCTATGTAATACTTTTATTGGGTCTTCAAACCTCCTTCAACAAACTCCTCTCAAGCTTTCAAAAGCTACTACCATGCCATTCTAATCACAACATATCGAAAGTGGAGTTCAACCACAACATATCGAAGGTGGAGTTCAACAATGGCTTCTTTTACCTCAACCCCAATTTTCTCCTCTTTTCTTTATTCCACTCTTATCTCTTTGTCAATAATTTATATGTCATTTCTTGCAAAAGACCTTGATTTTTGACTAGAAAGTAGAAATCCAAGACCAAAAGACTTGGTTGCTTTTCCCCACAAGGTGGATGGTGAGACCCCACCATCCACATTTGACCCCTTGGCTTACCCCAAGCCAAGCGTGTGGGTTTTGTCATTCAATTTATTTATTGTTTGGTTATTGCTATTATAAATGACAATATCTTTGCTTGGGCTAGGCCTTTGGATTTCCACTTGACTTGGTTTGAGATTGGGACTACTTGATTTGGTTTGAGATTTGAACCACTTGACTTGGCTTGGAATTGGAGACCATGCCCAAACACCATCTTATGTCCAAAGTTGTGATTCATGATAAGTTTTTGTTTTTGTTTTTGTTTTTGTTTTTGCTTTTGTTTTTTTCTAATTCAACAATTGTTGATGTCCATCACAACAAAAAATAAATGTCACAAGACCACGTCGTTCTATCATGGCCATTATTTTTCTTTATTTTATTTTGGGTTAATTTCAATTTAATATTCTAGAGATTTGTGCTAAAATATGATAGGGATGCACTATCATTCTATTTCAAGGTTTACGTTTTTAAGGTTCAATCAATCACACGTTTTTTTTTTGGGGGTCAGATCAATCACACGTTTCTGCTAACAAATAATGAAGTCTTCTTGATCCATCAAACGCAATGATAACGAAGATGGCAACAATGCTGATGAGGAAGATGAGAACAAGGAAGAGATTGAAGATGATGATGAAGACAATGACAATGGTGATGAGAATGAGGATGATGAAGGTGAATATCGCCTTGCTAATAATGATGAAGATGTTTCTGACTTTAATTCATATGTGAGGACAAGCCATTATAGAGTATACAAGCTTGACCAAAGGAATGACAACTTTGTTGGAGTGCAAAGTTTGGGGTACCAACTATTCTTTTTCTCGGACGCTTGTGTGTCCCTTCTAGCGAGTGATTTTCAAGGGTTAGAAGGAAATTGCTTATTTTGCAACAAACGCTACATGTAATTTACCTTCTTTGGAAACATATACATCTCGTGAATTTGGTGTATTCTACCTAGATTTTGGGAAAATTGAGCGACCCTTTCCAAGTGTTAAATTGTCAATACGAACACAACTAATTTGGTTAACTCCAAATTTATGGTAGAAAGATAGGGAATTGTTGCTTAAGAAGTCTTGTTCTTGTAGATGTGGGCTTAGCTAAGTTGGTTGGAGCGGATTTACTTCCCACTCTGCACCCGAGTTCGAATCTCCCTTCCCATAGTTTATCCACTTTGCATCCGAGTTCGAATCACCCTTTCTGTAGTTTATATCGCTCGTATAAAAAAGAAGTCTTATTCTCTATTTATTATTATGTTTTGGATTCTGAATTCTAGTTCCTCATAATATTACACTTTTGCTTCTTTTATTTCGGATGGCTATATTGTTTCTATCGACTTGGCTAACTTATTAAATGGTTGAATCGTTTATTCTTACATGATGAAAATTATAGATGAAATCAAAGTGATATTTTATGTTGATGGCTAAGAAGGCCAAAAGGCCCGAAAAGAAAAGCTCAAACCCAAGATGCCTCCGTTCCTAGAACCTTGAATTGGGGAGGATGGGAATCGAAGATATGTAGTAGGGCCCAACCCAAAGTGAAATTTCACTCACATTTACCATGATATTACTTACTTATTTACTGTGTAAGAGGATCTTACTCACATTTAACAAACATTAGCTTTCATAATCAATATATTGTAGGATGTTACATGGGCCACATAGATATCCATTTTCAGACTGAAGACCCCACATATGAGATTGCCCGATTTCATATATATAACATCGAGCGCTAACTGGTTAGTAAGTGTTGAGGCCCAAAAAAGTCACGGTTCGGCCCAAATAAATTCTCGGCCCAATGCAATACCTTACCGAGAAGAAACCCAATTTGGGCACGCGAAAGGTCGTCATATGCGCTTGCACACATGCCACGCCAAGCAAATAAGCAACACGTCACGCTACAAGCTTAAGTGGGCCCAAGCCACGCAAGATGCCTGGGGCTTGCTTGAGTGGGTTTTGGCATGGATGGTAATAAGTTGACATGAGGCCCATTGATGGGCTAAGAAATGGAAGTCCCGGGGTTGCTTGGGAGCCTCGAAACTCAGGCCCATTTCTTAGGCCCAAACATGTGGGTGAGCACAAAGAGAAAATATCCCAACCAAAAAGCCCAACCGAAATAGCCCATTAGCTTAACCAAATTAGCCCAACACCGCAACAAAAAATAGGCCAACACTTGTTGAGGTTAGCCCATTTATTTTGACAAACCAACCCATTATCTTAGAAGGCCCATACAATTAGAAATGAGAAGTAGCAAAAGCCTCAGCCCCTTACTAAAAAAACAGAAGCCACGAAGGGAAGTCCGGAGGTCCACTATGCAGAGCTGCTGGGAGGCTCTAGCACATGGGGGGAACAAGTTTAAAGCAAAAACTTCCAAAGGACCAAGGGATATTGGAGTGCAAATCACCATTTGAACCAACATGCATACCCATTCTCTTTCCCTCATTAGACCTGACCATAAAAAAAAGGAAGAAAGGAAAGGAAGGAGATAGTTGAAAATGGGAGTTATGAGGCAGCTGCGGGAAAGGGTCTTGAGCTCCAAAAAATCCCTGATTTTGTGCAAATGGGCAAAGTGGATTTCACTAAAATAGGATGATTGAAGGGATGAGGGGAGAAAGGAATGGAAAGACTTGGCCAAATTAAATAGAAGCCATTAGGGTTTCTTGGAAAGGGTAGCTTCCAGCGCCTATAAAAAGAGGCATTTCCTACCCATCATCACAACACACAACCAGAGAGCAAGCTTCCTCTCTTGCATGCGAAACCCAACAATTTTCGTGCTTAGTTCATCTCCTCCCTCAGCTTTCCCCTTTGTCATGCTATTCTGACATTTGACAGAGTCACTGTCGAGCTGCCGGAAATAGCGCCCAAGCCATCTTTTCCTTTCCTTCCCTCCTTTCTTAGCCAAACCTCTTTGCAAACTCTCCATCTCCTACCTTAATACCCCTTTTTCTCCCAAGAACACTCAGTTTTCTCTTCGGTGCTAAACTCATGTCGATTTTGCTCCCATGCCACAAGCTTCTCATGCTAAGCCAAGAATTTATCTATAAGCTGTCGTTATTTTT